CCCCCCCCCCCCCCCCCCCAAATACCATGGTCCATAGCTCCATAGCCTTTCCCCTGGGGGCAGTGGGGGTAGAGGAAAGAATAATGTTTCCTCCTTGCCCCCTCTGCCTCAGGCCATGCCAGCCTGCCACTGCAATAGTGAGGGGGGAGCACCTGGTAGACCTGGCCCAGGTCCTTGCTAGTGGGACAGGGAGAGGGGAATTAAAAGAGGGTAATTAAATCCCTCTCTGGCCAGACCTCCACCCTTGCCTGTTGCTGCTCCAGCTGGGAAGCAAAGGGACGGGGCCAGCCTTGCTAGGGCAGGGCCAACCTTGCTGTGCTGGAGTGAAGAGCCCAGTCCAGGGAGCATGCTAGGATGCTGGGGGATTCTGGTTTAAGTTAAACCAGGAAGGGGTCTCGGACAGACATTGCATAAACCAATTTGAGCTAAATCAGTTAAGTCTGATACTACATTCAACCAGGTTTATCTCAAACCAGTTTCAGCCATTTTGAAACTGGCTTATGTTCACTGAATGTCTGTTCTGTTACAGGTTTAAACAAATTTCACTTTAACTGGTTTATGTGTAATGTCTGTCCCTAGCCCCTGTATCTAACTTTTTACCTAAAATCCAAACAAACCATTAAAATGGCAATAACGACAAAAAATCATGGAAACTGTCTTCATTTGATGTGTTCAAATTATATATTTAATGAACGACTATTGTAATATGAGTGAGCCTTACATTCTCTTTGCTTTCTTTTAGTTTGACAGCTTTGCTACAGATGAAGAGCCAAAGGAATGCTAGCTAATAATTGTCTGCAGTTAGACTAATCTGTACGTGCTCTTTTAGGTTAGAAGGAAGACTGTTGAAATATTGTTGATAGAATTTGAGCCATTATACACACACAGTATGTTGTCTGTCTGGCCTCAGGGCTGAGCCTTGGATCACCACCAAGAAACAAACATCTGGGGTGCTGTGAGATCCTTTAAGAGTGTTTCAGGGTGCCAGTCAGTGTTAACACTGTTATGTGTGCAAATCTATGATTCAAAATATAAATCCAGAGGCTTGAAACAGAAATCCACAGTTTAAAAACATTCTGACTTGTTGCACTCTTTCTGAGTTCTTTGCATCAAAAAGATTGCTCTATTATTTTTCCTGCAATTTAAAAAGCAAAAAAGGAGTGAAAACTAAGTGCTGGCATTTTCTGAAGGGTACTTTGAGTGCAGTGAGGGGTGTCTGGAATCTAAAAAGATTGTGAACCACTCCTCCAGGGGATCCTGAGAGAATTGCTGGAAACATGGCCATGTTTTTACATGGATTTTAAAATATTAAAAAAAAAACGTATTGCTTGTTTCTAGATCTGTTTAAAAAAGAGGCACAATTCTGTGGAGAAAACAGGAGGGTAGAGAAAACCCTCTTTTGTCATTCATACAGTATTTCATTTTGAAATGTTATTGTCTATATACAGTTGAATTCAGCAGAAGAAAGAGAAAATTATTAAGCGATAAAGGTTAGTTTGGTCCTAATCATTCTCTAGAGAGTTGTTGACCACTGAAACTACAGTAGTGAAGTCTTCTGTCAGGCTGTAATTGTGATGTCTGCCATAAAATGGTTTAAACACTCACACTGGAGCAGGAACCACAGACAAGCTCTTTCCATAGCTATTCTGTGATGGTACATCTCTTTGCACACAGAAGTCTAGCCTAAATTAAATTTGTCCATCATGGGAATTTCTTTTTATTATGAATTCTGCTCAAAAGTAACCTTGAAAACATGAGATTTTCCATTGTAAATTAATACAGGCTCATTCTAGAAGAATCATTGTATAATACAATGGCAGCCCGCTGCGTATCAATACTTTTAAATTGTTTGTACTTTTATGTTAGGCATTTCATCTTAGGAAATGAAAAAAATTCATTTGGAATGAAATTATCCCCAGTACCTATTTCCTTTTGACCTTTAATACTTCCTAATTAACATTTATCAGAATTATTTTTTTCTCTCCCTTATGGTTTCTGTGAAGTGCATGATTAAACTAGGGGTTCATTATTCGTTAGGAAGGGAGCTGGACTTTATTGGTTGATTGTGGAATTGACCAAGAACTAAATAAAGTAATTCATTCTGGGTAACTCACATATACGCTATATGATTGTGTAGTATGATAGCCGAAGTAGAAAGAATAAGGAAAATGCTTTTAAGTGGCATGCTCTGAATCAATCAGGTAAAAAGACTTGGCATAAAGAAAGAAATGGGAAAAGCTTTTGTTGATGAATCCAGTATTAAAAAGAACTCTCGCTCCTTTTATTGTGCTGATGCTGAGAGCTGTCATCTTTAGCAAGAATCTTACATCTATGAGAACCTTTAGGGAGAAATGAAGTGTAAAATGCTTTAAAAAAAAAAAAAAAAAATCTGATACAATCCTTAAACGGTTTGATTCTCTGTAGACTGAGGATAGCTAAAACTTTGCAACTTCCATTGTTTTGCACCAAGAGAGATCTTTTAAGAAGGATGATGAAATATTTATACAATGAAGCTCAACAGGATTTGGTGGTTTCCCATTTTACAATGGAACGGTGGGTTTTGTTTTCTTATTTTTTGTTTCATTTTGCTTAGCACAAAAGTGAAGGTTAAGACACACAGACCAACACACATGTTAAGAAACATTCTTTTTTCTTGTTGGCTGGGGGGAAGATTTTGGTAAGAATTTTGTTTGTTTGAAAGATTCAAAACTGAGAAATTTTATAAAACCATATTCTATTCATCCTATTGTTTAAGAGGTAACTGGTTATTCTTGCCTAAAATTAAAACTGTGATATTTTTGTGTTTCTGTATATATAATTCAGTGTGTTTTTCACTGAAAAAATTTCAAAACCCTTTGCATACAGAGACAGATAACTAATATTTGTACATCAGTGTCTGTATCAGTAGAATGGGATTGAGAGATGCAGAGCATAACGAAGGTAGGGTAACCAAGGCAGCTGCCCGGAGCACAAGCTTGAGGAGTGTGATGGAAAAAAAATACATTGCTGCCACAGCTGTCCCATTGTGCTGACAGCATGGAGGCAGCTGAAAGCTGCTGTTGCCCTTGCCTGTTGCAGCTGCCCAGCTGCTGCTGCTGGTCTCTGGGTGGGCGCAGCCTGGAGAAGAGCAGTGGTGTGGCAGTGGTAGGGCAGTTTAACCCTGCCTGCTCTGGGACAACAGCACAGACAGGCACAAGTAAGTGGGGGAGGGAGGGGCAGGGGGACCCTGAGGCGTGGGCAGGGGGAAACCCAAAATGGGAAGGTGGTGTGATTCTTACCTTTCCATCCTCCTGGCCCCTGCTGGCCTGAAGCGTGACTGCGCTAAAATCGAACTAACACTAATACTGAATAATGTTTGCGTGGCTCTCAGTGTATGGTGTAACAAGGAAATCCTGAACCTTTGTAAGTCAAATGGAAAAAACAACAACTATTGACTTCAACAGTAGGAGGTTAGCACACCAATATCCTCCACTAATCCCATTAGTCAGTTATTAATGAAATAACATTGTGAATGCCATTTTATATGTAATTTAAAATGCAAATTTTTTCATGTCCTTTTTTTAACCATACTTCTTTCAAGTGACTTTTATCCTTCCTGTTTGCATGCACAAAGACTAATCCAGGTAACTGACAGACATGGCTGCAGCCTCTGCATGAAGCATGAGTTTCATAAGCTTCACTGCATAGAGTATTAATATTTATCTTATTTTTAAATCATCTCTTACAGCTGACCTCTGCTATATTTAAGTCATTTTCTCTTTGTTTTGACAGCTTTTGGTTTTATGCTATTTAGAATGTGAGCACTTCAGGACTTGTATTTTATCCTCTCCTATATTTGCGAGGTACTAAATACAGGATGCTGGTTTGACTCAGAAATTGAGCATCTTCTGTGCCCACTGACAACTTAATTCTTACCTTCCCTGAAATCCTGTTTTATTTAGCAGTGAAATGCAATCACAGATTAACTTCTATATACTGACGAGAATGAAACTGCAGTCATAAGAGCTCAGTTTAATGGCAGCCAACAGGAGTGGATGAGTGATCAGGGCGAAAGCCTCAGGAGCTGGCTAAAGGGGGATGGAATGGAGTTGAGGGGTGACTTATCACTACTGGACACCCTGCACCTTCCCTGCTGTGGTGTTGACTCTGACTCTAGCAGCAGTGTTGCATGGAGTAGGGTCAGAGGCCAGAGGTTTCCTGCTGTTTTGGCTGGGGGAAGGAAGATGTCATCTCTTTTTTGTTGCTGAAATTTGTTGGCGAAGAAAAGTGACATATTTTTCCCTCCCCCTCTTCCTCCACCTTAACAGTAGTGAACCTCCAGCCACAGGGCACAGTACTGGCTAGGTATGCTTCTGGCAGCTATGTGTGGTTTGCTTTAACTATTGAACTCTTGATTGTCATCATCAGAAGAGGTTAATGAGGAGAGCAGGAGTGCTCCACTTGAACTGGGAATCTTGGCAGGATTTGAGCTTGCAAATGGCACTCATATACAGTTCTGTGTATGCAAAATGTACCACTTAATTTCTGTTTTACTTTTTTCTGTTAATTATGAATTGGTAATTATTTATGGTGGGGGTGGGGGGCAAAAAACTTCCGGTTTCCTACTGCACTGTAGCTATTTCTGTAATTGCTATGTATTCGTTCATTAGGATGTGTAATGTAAGAAGGACGTTATAATGTAGAGTGAGTGGATATGAAGTCAGATTATTTGAACATAGTATTTGTATTTTGCAGGTCAAGTTAATGCCTCCAGCACCAAATGATGACCTGGCGACTCTGAGTGAGCTAACAGACAGCAGCCTGCTCTATGAGATTCAGAAGCGTTTCAATAACAACCAAATATATGTGAGTGGCTTTGGAACTGCTCATGATAGCATTTTTATTCACTTACCTACAGCCAACTTTCTGTGAAGAGCAATTAATGAAAATAGGATTGGTCTATTAGTAATCCGAGCGTAATTACCAGACACGTACATTTGCAAGTAAAATGGCTGAGGAACGGGTATGTAAAAATCTTCAGCTATTTACATGTATCTGGAAAAGTCTAAAGTATGAAATGAATAAAGGATATAATGTGTGTGCCTAGGTAAGTCTGCATGTTCATTTACTCAAGAAGGTGTGTTGGCGAAATGCAATGAAGCATTTGTACCCTTTTCTTGTAATCTTTCAAGATACAGTTATTATTTATATAGTTTTTACATATTTTGTATGCAAGTCTATTATTCCTGGGGATTTAATAAAGGTTTGAGTTTAAAAAACCCCTCAGGAACCAGTATGAAGGACTTGATTCCCCATTATCTTTTCCTATCACACAAATCATTATTTTGATGTGATTATGTTAATGACTTATATATTGAGTAAAGTAATTACAAGAATATTTATATGCTGCAGATTTTTGAGGATCTTGGCATATTAAAAAGGCAAATCCAATCAGGTCTAGATAGTAAAATCTGCATATGCATATTTTTGATATCCCTCTTTGTAGCTACTTTCCCTTGTCTAGCTTATTGAACAGCTGATTGGGTGATTTGCATGTAGATGTGAAACATGTAATTCTGTTTTTAATCTAATCAATCAAAAATGTTCTTAAGCCAGAAAAATACAGGTATCTGGAATGTCACACACCACATCCTGTTGTAAATGCAGTGGAAGTTAATACAGAAGTTAGTCATAGGTGCTGAGAACTCCTTTACTGTTAAAAAATGCAGGATGGTAAGATTCTGACTACTCTCATCCTTTTCTGGTGTATTTCCTTTTCTCTCATGTTCAGAGGTCCCAGGCACATATAGCTCTCATATCAGTGGAAGCCATAGGTGTTAAGCAGCAGTGAAAATCAGGGACAAGCATTTGATTTTTCTCTTGAAATATGGCTATCAAAGACTGAACCTGAAGAAAATCTTAGGGTCCTATTTGTTATCTTCTTGAATATTTAAATTTGTCTCTTGTATAAGAATACACTGATGAACTTAAAGGCAGTAGTATCCTGATCAACAGAATCCGGGTTTTCTGTTCGCTATGGAAATGCAGAAAAACACGTATGTTCTCTTTTTAAGGATAAAAATGCAGGAAACAGCACATTTCCCCTAGCAGGCTGGCATAGTTCCTATTTAGAAAAGCAGGATGTGTGTAAGTCTATGAGGCCAGATGCAATGCATCTGAGGGTAAGGCTAAGGGAGTTAGCCTATGTGATTGCAGAGCTGCTGGCGATTATCTTTGAACACTCTTGGCAACTGGGAGAGGTGCTGGACAATTGGAAAAGGGCAAATATAGGCCCATCTTTAAGAAAGAGAAGAAGGAGGATCAGGGAAATTACAGACCAGTCAGCCTCATCTTAGTCCCCAGAAAAATCACGGTCTTCAAGGAATCCATTCCTAAGCACTTGGAGAAAAAGAAGGTAATTAGGAACAGTCAGCATGGATTCACCAAAGCAAGTCATGCCTGACCAACCTGATTGCCTTTTATAAGATGACTGTCTGTGTGCATGTGGGAAGATCAGTGGACTTGGTATAAGTTAGCCTTAGGCAACACTTATTATTAGGGTTATTGCATGGCAGTTCACTTACGTACTAGAAAAATGGGACCAAGATTTAACATATTGCTGATAATTTTTTGATTTGGGGAGATCTAAATATTATGAAAACTGAACAAACAGAACTCCCCCCCCCCAAAATAAAACTGTGGAAATATACTCCTAAATAGGACAGTTAACTGAAACTATTAATTATATGTGAATATTTTTACAAAATACTTAAGGCATTTTAACTGCTCCTTTCAACCCAGAAATAGAGAACACAAAATGACAGTACAGGAAAATTCTTCTATAGAATTGTTTGTTCATTTCTTTTTTCTGTTCATTAAGTTTCTATTCTGTATTGTGGACTTTTGTTGGTTTTTTATTTGTGTTGTTTTGTGAAACTTTTTAAAGAGGTCAGTGTCTGACCAGAATATTTTAAAATAGAACTGAAATATACCTGAAATAGTTAAGAAGGAACATATTAGAAAAGCCCAAGATGTGGTTCTGTTACAATGCAAAGACAATAACAAAAGTTCCCATTTTGTGACTTTTAGTATTTGAAAGAAATACGAGCCATTACTTTTTCTTCATCAAGTATTTCTTTTATAATTATAACTTGTTTAGCAAAGCACCATATGGAATTAGTTTTATAGAACTTTGATTTCAGTATGAGGCCTGTTATCATCTATTCTAGTTTTAGAGTAATAGTTACCACCAAACAGTTAATTCTTTCTTTTATCTTTCTGTACTACACAGTTTTAAAATTAGCTGAAGGGGGAGTATTGTATGTGTCAGTTGTCTTACTGGTAGTTGTTTTTGTTATCATTTTTAGAAACTACTATTTAGTGGTCCCCATTTATGATTAAGGCTGAAAATCAGTTAGCATTATAGGAACTGGGAGAAATCAACAGTCTGTATCCTCTGTTGTGGCCTATCTTTGCTAGGTGAAAGATTGGTTTACGGATTGGTGGGAAAGGTGGCCTAACATCACCTGTATCTTTCCAGATTCCTGAGAACATCCCATTCATCTTTGCTCTCAGAGCCATGCCTGCCTGGACCCACCCTCCCCCTGCTCTCAGATCCTGTGCTCTGTGCCCCCTGCACCTCCCGTTCTTGAACCATGTGCCCCACCCCCTGCTCTCCTGCAGGGTTTGCCCTGGACAGCTGCTTAATTTGCTAATGCCACTGACAAGAGGGAGTTCAATCAAGGCCAGAAAAGAAAGACAAAGGAAGCTGTACATGCACTGTTGGACTAGTAAATAGGCATAGCAAAGCAGAAGATGCAGAGAAGGCAATAACTACTTTGCTTAGCTTCATAAAAAACTTAGGCTGCAATGAGACCAGTAATATAGATCATTTGGATAAGGAAAGGGGCAAGCTAATGGATGAGAAAAAAGAAACAGAGAGTTTGTGATGGGTCTGAATTAATTCAAGTCAGCAGGGCCTAATGAACTTCATCCCAGGGTACTGAAGGGGGTGTCGGAGGAGATCTCAGAACCCTTCCCAATAATATTTAATAAGTCATGGGAGATGGGCAAGGTACCAGAGGACTAGAAAATGGTCAACATAGTGTCCCTCTTTTAAAAAGCCAAAAAGGGGGACCTGGGGACTTATACACTGGAATTATACACAGGAATTTACTGGAAAATATCCTAATGAGCTCCATTGGCCAGCATTTAGAGAAGGGAAGGCTGATCATGAGCAGCCAGCTCATGTTCATTTACTATGAACAAATTGTGCCAAACAAACTTAATCTCCTTCTTTGACAAGAAAATTAATTGGGTGGATGAAGGGAATGCTGCATTTATACTGTATCTGGATTTTAGCAAGGCTTTTGACAAAGTCCCACATGACCTCCTCAAAAGCAAATTGGAGAAATGTGGGCTAGACAAAACTTCTATAAGGTGGATAGACAGTTGGCTCAAAAGTTACAAGCAAAAGGTAATTATAAATGTATCCATGTATGAATGGCAGGAGGTTTCAAGTGGAGTCTCAAAAGGGTCTGTCCTGGGCTCTGTGCTGTTCAACATTTTTAAAATTATTTGGATGCAATGTTGAAATAGATTGCTTCTTGCAGTTGACATGGAAAAAGGAAGGATTGCAAACACACGGGTGGACAGGAGTGCAATTAAGAAGGACCCTGACAGTTTGGAAAGTTGGGCTAGAGTCAGTAGGATGAAGTTCAATACTAGCAAAAGCAAGGTGCTTCACCTTGGGAAGAATAATCAAAAACACACATGTAAGATAGGTGACACCTAAGTGGATGGAAGCACTAGGAAAAGAATCAAAGGGAATTTACACACATGTGATGAGCCTGCTCAGATGTGCTGGAAATCCAGCATGTAAATTGATGTGCTCTGGCAGCCTGCCATGTCACATGTATCAGTGGTGCAGCACACCTCTGCACTGAGAAAATGGCAGAATTGTGCTTTGTACTCAAACGCATTCAATGTCCTTCAGTTCAAAGTGCACTGCCACCATTTTTTTCACTTCAGAGGCATGCTGCGCTGCTGATGCATGTGTTTCCAAGGCGGTCCTTTTAATTATTGCTGCTCGCTGATTAAAAGTGCCTGGTGCCATATTGGGAGCACATGTAAAAATGCCTGAAGAGTCTTGGTCCATCACAAACTGACTCAATAAGAGTCTTCAGTGTGATGCAGACACAAAAAAGTTAATGCTGTTTTGGGCCGCATGAATAGGAGCATTAGGCACAAGATATAAGAGGTGATAATGTCTCTCTACTTATCACTGGTTAAGCTGAGTATGTTTTTTGGGGCTTCACATTTTTAAAAGGACATGGAGAAGTCAGTGAGGGTCCAGAGACAGGTGACAGAAATGATAAAGTTGTTAAAAGGCAAGCCATAGGAGGAGAGGTTGAAGGAAATAGGAATGTTCAGCTGATGGAAGAGACATGATAGCAGTCTAAATATATGAAGGGCTGCGTAAAGATGAGGGAGACTTGCTTTTTATTTCCAGCTGCAAAGAGCAGGATGCAGACCAATGGTTGAAGTTGCAGCAAAGAAAGTTTAGTTGGATATCAGGTAAAAAACTTCACTGTTAAAACAGTAAGGCAGTGAAATAGGTCACCTAGGGAAGGTAAGGAATCTCCAGCACTGGAGATGTTCAAGAAGAGGTTGGATAAGCATTGATTAGGGTTGATCTAGGAGTAGCAATGTCTGTGGTATACTATTAGTATTTCTTTGCCTCTTGGTTTTGCTGGTTGTAACAGGAAGGATTTGTTCCCCTCCTTTTGCTATATATTTGGGTGGGGAGGAGTTGCTACATATTTTGGTGGGGAAGAGAGTTGTTTTATTTAGTTTTTTTGTTTTGTTTTCTTTTTTATGGATTTTTTTTGCCTTCCTCAGAAGCATTAGCTGTTATCTGCAGCCAAGAGTAGGGATTTTGACTGGGGTGTGCCAGTGCACATGTGTGAACTAAAAGACTATGAAGGTTTTTGCCTTCCTCTTTAGTAGGATCTTTGCCCTTTTCCTTGGGTCTCTCAAGTGTATTTTAAGAGCGCTTGCAGTAGCGGTGGATGGGCCATCATTGTTCCCTCACTTTACCTATGGCAGGTTAGGTTGCTATGCTTTGTGGCTTTGTGACAGGGTTGCTTGTGTAGTTTTAGTTATAGGTTTGACAGGATTTGCTTGGAGTAGTTTGGATAGGGCCGATCCTACCTCAGGCAGAGGGTTGGACCAGACAACCTACGGAGGTTCCTCTGTCCTACTTTTGTATGATCCTATGATTATTAAACAATTTTAATTATGAAGCAAGCATTCAATTTTATTATAACAGATGCAGTTAATACTATCAGACTTAGTGGGTGTATCTGCCCATCACCCTATGGTGACATTGTTACTGTGCTGTGCACTGCTGCACTGTTAGTTTTAACCACTACTTTGCTGAAGCAGTATGTTAAAACAGGGGAGCATGCCGCTACAGCGAAGTAGCTGCCAGTCGCATGTATACTTACATGATCACTATGTCACCATAGTGCATCGTTCTGTGATGTAGCATGTCACTATAGTGACATAGGGTGACGTGTAGATGCACCTGGTAATAATCTTAGTTCTTAAAGGCAGGAATTTAAAAGCTTCTAAATTGTGGAGTTACAGATCTATATTTAGTATGTTGCTTGTTTGATTTTTAGATGCTTTGGCTAAAAGTCTTTTCTGAAAGAAAATCATTAACTTCCTGAAGGAATTCATTTATCACATAATAAATCAATTGTATCTTTTTTTCCAGACATACATTGGAGATATACTGCTGCTTGTTAACCCTTTTAAAGAACTCCCAATTTATTCTACTATGGTAAGCGTTCTCTTGCAAAGCTGTTTTTATCTAGATCTACACCAGTACATTTTTATTGCTACAGCACGTTCACTCAGTTCATTACAGCTAAATAAATAAGAAATAGCACCTATGCTCTTTTCATAGTGGCAGCATCTGAATTGAATACGTTAGCAGCAATATGTTAATATGGCCCAAGGCATAACTGTTCTTGTCACTGTGTCTCAATCACCGTGCAGCAGCCATCCTTCTGAACGGCTCCTCCAGGCATTTTTGTTTTGTTCTAAAGTGCTTCCCATAATATATTTTGTTCTTGTTAAGCACTGCTAGTAAAAAATATATATATATCAGTCAGCCTAGAGAAAACAACAAGAGAACACTGCATTCACAGATTATTTGTGTAACAAGAAAAAGATAACTAAAAGTGACAGTTTGATTGGGACTGGGCAGTCTATTTCTCACTAATCCTATTTTATCAGCTTCAAATTACTTATTTTCAAGGTTTCTATTACTTCAGTATCTAAACACAGGTACTAGTTAAATACACTTTGTTGCTGTGTGTGCATAAGATAAACTCGCATTATCTGGGATTTGTTTCAGCCTGGCCCAGACATTTAGGCTAGGAATAGACAGTACATATCAACCAGTTTAAGTGGTCAGAAACTGGTTTAAACCTGTAACAGAACAGACAGTCAGTACACACAAACCAGTTTCAAAATGGCCAAAACCAAGTTGAGATAAACTGGGGTGAATGTAGTTATCAGATTTAACTGATTGAGCTCAAACCAGTTTATGCAATGTCTGTCCCAGACTCCGTCCTGGTTTAAGTTAACTAGGATCCCGGCATGCTCCCTGGACTTGGTTCTTAGCTTTAGCAGAGCAGGGCTAGCCCCGCCCCTCTGCTCCCCACCTGGATCAGGGACAGGAGTCTGGCCAGAGAGGGTTTAATTCCCCCCACCCTATCTCACCGGCAGGGATCTGAGCTGGGTTTGCCAGGCATTCCCCACCCCTCGCTGCTGCAGCAGTAGGCTGGCATTCCCCCATCTACCCCACCTAAGCTGGACCACAGCCAGGTCTGCCCACCTTGACTGCCACCACCACCACCACTCACTCCCTGCTTGGAGTAAGTGGTGGAATAAGTCCCCTCTGCCAGATGCTGGAGGGAGAGGGAATAACCCCCATCCCTGCCCCCCTGCCAAAGGAGGGGGGCAGGGAGCAGAGTTGTTCTCCCCTCTGACCCAGAGCAATATGATATGGTTTGTCCACCCTGGTCGTCGCCACTACCACTCACTCTGTGCCTGAGGCAAGTGGCAGAATAAGACCCCTCCTGTGCCCCTCCCTCTGGCATCTGGTGGAGGCAGCTTATTCTACTGCCTGCCCCGGGCACAGACTGAATGGTGGTGGCGGTGGTAGCAGCCGGGGCGGGCAGACCCCGCTGCAGTGCCCTGGGGGCAGAGGGGGGAATAATCCCACTCCCTGCCTGCTGCCCCCTGCCTAAGGGGCCCTGCCAGCCAGCCTCTGGCCCTGTCTCTGCCTGGCTGCTGGAGTAGCAAGTGGGGAGTGACCATAACAGGGGCAGCAGCCCCTGTCACTGTTTCCCCAAGTGCAAGTCCCTTCCTGGAAGCAGGGCCATGCTGCAGGGTGAGGAAAGCTGCTGCGTACCATCATGATGGTGGCAGCACTGTGTGGGGCTCTGTCTCCAAGACCCAGTGCTGCCATGTACAGTCTGCTACAGCTCTGTCCACCCTGCAGCAGGGCCCCCCTCACCGGGAAGGGGCTTATGCTCCCAGACACTATGACAGGGGCTGCTGTCCTCATTGAGGGCCCTGCCCCCTTGCTGCTGCAGCAGCTGGGCGGGAGTGTGGGCAGATGCCAGCCAGAAGGGCCCCTTAGGCAGGGGGAGGGACAGAGGTTACTCGTCTCCCTCCAGCATCCGGCAGAGGGGACTTATTCCACCACTTGCCCCATGCAGAAAATGAGCAGCGGCAGCGGCGGTTGGGGTGGGTTCACCTGGCTGCAGTCCCCCAGGGACAGTGGGGGAATAACCCCTCCTCCCTGCCCCATCTGCCTTAGGAGACCATGCTGGCCTGCCACTGCAGCAGTGATGCGGGAGTCCCCAGCAGACCTGTCTCAGTTCTGTGCTGGTAGGATAGGGAGAGGGGAATTAATCCCCTCTCTAGCCAGTTCAGCCAAGGCTACTGCCTGGGCTGGCCATGACCCCCAACACAACTTCCCTGTAGTCGAGGGCATGCGCTAGCTCCCCGCAGCTCCTGGCCTGAGCAGCTACAGGCATGCGCCTGCATTTTCTCAGTCCACAGTTCCTCAGTCCAAATTGGTTCAACCTAGGCAGGTTAGACTAACCTGTAAAGACTGAATCAGTTCCGGCTACGGCTTTTTGACTGTCTGTGCCTAGCCTTAGAAACAGTAGGTAGTCTGAAGCATTGAATTTTGCTGTTGCTCCTGCTATTATTATTTTTATACTGAGATCAATGTCCCATTGTATAGACATTGTACAAACCCATAATAATTTGCTTATAATGTTTCTTGAAACTCTGTTGTGCTCAGAATCATAGTTAGGGAACTGTAGATTGCACTTGTTTGAAATGATATGTGAGCTTGAGGTGAGTAACAGCTTAGGTTGTCACTTTCTTTTGTGTCCAGGTTTGTACTTCCCTGTAGTAGGATGAGGCCTTAATCTCTAACTGGGGTCTTTTAAGTATTACCACAATAATAATATAGACTCCTTGCAGACATTTACAAGAAAAGGTGCTATACTTTAAACTTGATGCAGTCCCGCACTGAGCCCAGTGCATGCCCAGAAGAGGCATCATGCTAGTTGGATGTGGATCACCCAATGACTGTATATATTGGGTGCTTTAGTGGGGCTTTTTGGCACTTTTTTCTGAAAACTCATTGACTCAGTTTTAGATAAAAACAGCAACAATCCCTGTTGAAGTGCCCAATCTATAGTGATGCTGCAGAACTGGGTTGGAGTAATACGCTACTTCTTCTGGTAAAGCACGTTTTTTAATGTCTGCAAGAAGCCATAATGACTTAATTAATTTAAAGTTTGCATGGTCAAAGTATTCAAGAAATGTGGGTGTCTTTTTAATGGGAATGTCAAGTAAATATTTTCCCATTATATTACTGTTAAACTTTTAGTGGCAAATTCTGATGGCTTGGTGGTTTACAAAAATGTTCTTATGTATTTCAGCTCCTTATCTTCTATTCTGACAAAACTCATCAGTAGTAGATGAGCTGCATATTAACATAATGAAAATAAATGGCATACATTTGTAGATCACTGTGTAGGCCAACATTATGTGCATGATGATGAACCAGGGTTTTTTCTTTTTTCCAGGTTTCCAGTTTGCTAACTTTCAATGAAGGAATAGAAAGAAATGATGGGCATGATAGTATTTCTTAAAATCATTGGTGACATAATGAAATGATTAAACACACACTTCATGTAATAAATGCAGTATTTAAAAATTGCTTCTTTTTAAATTTCTTCTCATTATTTACAGCTTTCTCTTTTAAAAACAGACTCTAAAGTAGCTGCCCCAGCTATAACTAATAAATTTTCAAACATGAATAAATTACTTTATGAGAAACTTTTTACTCTGAACTCATATAAAGCACATTAAAAAGCTTTGTTTTGGTGCCACTGTCAGTGTGTAGTATATCAGAACACAGATGCCCATTACCAGTTGTTAAGGGTCTAACACTGTCATTTGGGAAATAAGTAATCCTTTTTGGAGGCAGAATAGAATCCCAGTTCGTTACTTATATGCAGCATTTCTTTAATACCACTGGGAATACATACACACACAAAAATAAATTCTTGCAAGATTGTTATCAGTGTTTTGTACTACACTGAAGTATTCATTGGCAAAGTATGGTAGCTATGGAAATATTCACTTGTGCCTAAGGAGTGAAGCCTTCTTATGCTAGTCAAAAATAGTATAATAGTTTGTCCCTGTGGCAAAGAGTTTAAAATCTAAACAGGCAAGACAGGCATATGTTACAAAAAAGTGATAAACCTGGCAGCAATTGCCATATTAGTCCTATAATTGTTTAATGGATTTCCTTAATGGAAAGAAAAGGGGCTGAGGGGACAAGGCAGGAGAGAAGACAGGAGGACAGGTAGGTATGGATTTCACTATGGTGAAGAGACTGTATACAGGGCAGAAGTTGAGGGATGTTTGGAGTTTCTCAGACCAGAATAGAAGATCAGAACCACCTCTGAGATTTTTACACTGGTAGTTGTATACCACAATGTTGCATCAGCTCACAGATTGACAGCAACTGAATAATTAAATCATTTGACTTAGGTTCAGCATTATTTGGTCCCTTCCAGCCCCTAACAACTATGAAACTATGAAATGAGCTGGACCACAGAAATAGCAGATTATTTCACCGAAGGCCACAATTCTAATTAGTAAACAATTTAAATGTCAAGATTCATTCAGAACATAAGCTCACAATGGATAACATTTTTAGCAACATGTAAATAACATGTACAGCGCATGCTACTAATTCTGTTTATTACAGAGATTTTTTTCCATGCTGTAAATAGATTACTCGTGTCTGCTGTGTCATATAACAAATTAATCAACTTGTGACCGGCATTCATTGATTCTGTTTTAATTATTCAAAGAATAGTTATATTTTTGTTTTTTAAAACTTAAAACTGTACATTGAAGGATTATCCATTACAAATATAAATAATGTAACCTAATATGTCAACTTAGAAACAATCTGTAATATTATGTACCACAGTTATAATTAAGTGTTGAAGGTTAAAGTTGTGCCTCCACTACAATATTTGTCATAAAACTTTTATTTTCTTTAAAAAGTGCTTTGTAATCACAAATGTTCAGTTTATAATGACTAGTCAACCTGATAGAAACATTTATTGAACACACAAAGCAGTTTGGTTTAGAATTTTCTCCATATGTTAAAATTCAATTATTTTTCAGGTCACACAACTTTACCTAAGCAACTCTGGCAAATTGTGTTCATCACTTCCTCCACATATATTTTCATGTGCTGAAAGAGCATACCACATGGTGTTTCAGGAGCGACGCCCTCAATGCTTTATCCTGAGGTGATGTTCTATCTTTTGTTTCAATGATTTATAACTTTTGCATTTGAAATGTGTCCCCAGTGATTCATGTGTTAAGGTTTCATTTTTATTTCTCCCCTCAGTTGATTTCTTATTTTGTCTTGCTGTGTCCACTGCATTGCAGCATCAGAAGAAAAAAAAGATTGAATTAAATCTACGATTTAGAAGTTATGGTGGGGAAATAACAGCTTCATCCAACTTCATCTTTAGTAGCTAAGCTAGCCCAGTATATACGACTGTTTGGTTTGCTTCCGTTGTTTGCTTGTTAGGTATTAGATCTATATTCTGCCTTATTGGGAAGGTTCAGAGAGGCTATATCAGAAATGAATTAAATCTAAACTGAATCTGAACCAGAAATATAAACTAGAGAGGAAGGATAATCCAGTGGTTCAGGCTTAGGGCTTAGGAACACATTTAGAATTTCTGAACTTCTCTAAGCTCACTGTTGAACCCCAAGATAATGTTTCTGACTCAACTCTCCAATTGTAAAATTAACATAATAATACTTCATTTAATTCACAGATAGACTGTGATGATCAGGGATCCTGGTTTTCTCTGTTTAAAAACAGCAAATTCTCTGATTAAAAACCCCAAAATATGCATTTTTCCAGTATTAAAATGAAACACCTCTCTCTCTCATATGTGGTATCAGCTGAACACAGTGTTTTATTGCCATATTTACAAGTAGCTACAACTGCCCTCCCCCCAGCTGCTTTGTTTCACCAAGCAGCCCTGATATGCTGGTGTCCTTCACTCTCGACCTACAACCCACTATCTCCCACACCCCCTGCTCTGCTGGTGCCCCTCACTCCCAACCACCCTCAGGCCCGAGCCCCTCACTGTGGGATGTGTGTGCAGGACAAGGGGATGTGTGTGGAGGGAAGGTCGGAGTGTGGGGGGCAGGTTGAGGGTGTATGGGGCAGGGGGTTCCTCAAACATAAATGATGCCATAGGCCGGGGTGGGCAAAATATGGCCCACGGGCAGGATCTGGCCTACCAGGCCATTCTGTCCAGCCCACGGGGCCCCTTAAAAAAATTAGTAAATTAACATTCATTTCCTCTTGGCTGCTTGTCAAAGCTGACAGGAGCCAGGGGCAGTAGGACCCAGGGGGATCCCTCAGAGGGACTGAGAAGCCCAGTTCTGCCCCACCCCCAGCCATTTCACTCTTTTCCTGCCTCCACCCTCCTCTAGGACCATGTGGCTACCAACTGCATTGTCAGACTGAGGAGCACGGGGATGCACTGGTACATGTGTGTGTGCGTGCATGGACATGCAAGCATGCAGGCAGGGGCAGTGCATGTGTCTGTAGGCAGGGGCAGTGCGTATGTCTGTAGGCAGGGGCAGTGTGTGTAAGCAGAGGCTGTGTGTGCGTGTCTGTAGGCGGGGCAGTGCAAGCAGCGGCAGTGTGTGTGTGTGTGTGTGTGTGTGTGT